GAAGGCGAACGCTTGTTTGAAGAAGTTGATCCTGCAAATTCAACAGCCTCAGATGCTGATGTTGAGGTGGCGACGGAATACATACTGGTCAGCCTGACCACCACGCGGATTCTGAAGCGCGAATTCGGTAATCACAATTTTGTTGTGCGGGAAGCGGGCATGGGCGTCGTTGACGTGCGCCTTGAATTGTTCGAAGTTTTGGCCGTACCAATGCTACAGAAGATGAGGATCAGAGGAGAACATACATTAGTGTCGAAAGCCCTTACAAGGTTAATGTAGTCGAAGTAGCAGCCGCCGCCGCAGGCGTTCACCATCTGCTGGACCCAATTCAGGCCTTTTCCACCCTCGTTTGACGAGGTTACAGCGGGGAGTGCCTTCTTGATAGCCTGCGTACACACACAGGTGAGGGATTGAGAGGGGTTTCACATACGAAATAAACGAACCAAGTGGTTGATATGCTGCTTGTACCAATCCGCTGCTTGACCCGGGCTAATACCGTTCAGATCAGGCTCATTGAGCGTAAAAATGGTGGAGAATTTGAGTTGCTGCTGACGCGCCGCCAGTTGGGAGATGGGAGACGAGTCACAATCCAGGCAGCGCTGCATTCCGATGAAATGAAGGCCGTGGTTTGCGTTGGAGGAAGGAGGGGCATAGGTCTCGTAATCGTAACTGCGTGTGGGTCAGAACGTGCGCACAAATGAATCTCAACACGCACATCAGGTTGACGGTTCCCTGGTGGTCATTAAGCCGTCCGGGATCGAGTTTGCCGTTGTAGTAGGGCCAGGCCAGACCGCGCTTCCCTGGTCCGTGTTGCACCGAGGGGGCGTCAGCGAAGAACTGTTCGAGTGCGAGCGGGACAAAAGCGGCGAGAGGGATCCTCATGATATTTTGGATGGAGTTTTTTGTGGTGAGGGAAGTGACCTTGGGTATGGAATTGAATTGTGCACTTGCTCTCCCATTCTTATACTCTCTTGTCGCCTCGCCTCATCTCCGTTCCGAACGGACAAGGTATGATTTTAGAAACAAGTGATGGGCGTACACAGGTTCGGTCAGAAGAGTCCGAACTGTCGCAGCCATTTTTATCAGGCCATGAATAGAGATTAAGCGAAACGGTGAAGTTTGATGTCGACACTGTGTGAGTTCGGGTGATCCATGGCCATGACTGGTTTTATAAGTCGTTTGTAGATTTAATTTTGTTATGTGCATCCCATGAACATGGTCTTCAAAACATTGTCCCGTCTGCGCGTTACTATTGCGGTGGAGTTTCCCCCGCAGTGGCTTCGCTACCGTAAGGCGGACCCGGGCAATGGTCCCTCATGGACCTTGAAGGCAAGATGGCATATCAGCGGGATCCGCCATCATTGTAAGTTAAGCTGGCTCGTTCGGTGCAGATCAGCTATCAACGTTGGACTTTGACATTGGGACGTTCTGGTTCCGGTCATTGCGTGAGCTCGAGAAATTCGCGGAACGGCTGGACAGCGGCTGAGGGGATTTCCTCCTTTGGTTAAACTATGTGCTTCTCGATACCGCACAGCTTAATGCAACATGGTCAGATGCACACCTCTCCAGCGCCGCACTGGATGCTCCGTGCCTCATGCCTAGCGGCAAGAGGAGACTAATATGAACAAGGTAATTATAATTCAATCCATTGTCTTCCCTGTGGCTGCCGACCTTGTGCTTCCTCCTTTGTACACTCGGCTTCTCGTAATCTCTTTACCAAGCGAACTCCGCACCTGGAATTGCTTCAACGCGGTTGATACGAAGGATGTGGTGGGGATGGAGAAGCAGGATTTATTTTCTGCGATAGGTAGAATGAGCTGGGCCATGAGTACGAAAGGATCCTTGAAGGATCCAGAAGTGTCCGTTTTTCGGCAATCACTCGGCAATCATATAACCAAGCAGCATGCCGGATCTTTCAAGCTCTTGCCTCTCACCATCATGAGTCGTTTACACAGCGGCCGCCACGCCTGAAACTTTCAACCTTGGTCAGCAATGGTTCTCACTCCGGGTTCGGTCTCATCGGAGGCTTGGCTGTCGGTTGTAGGCTGGACCATATGATTTCTTCTGTGTCTCATGCTGGCGCCACCTGAAATCCATTACATCGGTAATCTGCTACGCCCGCCCATCCCGTGTCGCGCGGAATTCGAATAAAGCTCTGTTCCAATTTTATTCGGATCTCCCCGCCTTTCTCAGCAGCAATAGTTCTTTCCTCGGAGATCGTGCGGTCGATTACTGGCTGGATACCTTGTCTTCTGGCTGCTCGCGGCGGTTCTCAGCTGGATCTTCTCTTCAAGCTTCAATTATTTAACCATTGTGACTTTCCACCCGGAACTCTCCCGCCTGGTTCAATTTTAGTTTTGTTTCTCGTCTCTTGGTCATGAAAAATCCAGTGCGGGCCCCTCCGTAGTTCACGATATCAATATTATTCTTCGTCCGTTCTCATCGTCCGTTCTCATCGCCGTCCAGCTGAAGCGCGGTGCTGGATCATCTTTCGCGCCGTCTTCACTCAGCTTACGGCACCTCGTTTCACCACTGATTCATCGCTCGCTTACATGACATGCATCTCAGCATCTCAGCATCGCCGTGTTGCACGCACTAGTCGCGCCAGCGGATATATAAAGAAGACCTTCGCTGCTGTTATACAATTCGCACAACACGCCACAAGGATTCACAACATCTTCGTTTCTCCCTCTCCGCACACTGCCCACCATGCATTCCATCCACATCCACAACAAGTCAAACCACCCGCAGGAGTTCGAGGTTCACGGTTACAACAACAACAAGAACATCGTCGTCCAGGCCGGGCAGACCGCCACCATTGCCGCGCCTGACAAGACCTCCGGGGCTATCATCGCCCTGCACGACGGGCACGAAGGCGAGCAGGCCGAGATAACCAAGGACGGGTGGCAGGGGAACGACACCTTCGATATTTCGGTCATCGTTGGAGCAGGTCAGTATTTATTTTTCTTCAAAGAATTTGAAAGGCGGAAGAATAACCTGATTGTATAGGCGGCAATATGACCATCCAACAGGTCGGTGACCCCAGCACACGCAAGGGCGACCCGACCTTCATGCAGGGCCTGAGGGCTGCATGGGCCAAGGCTGACGCCGGACTCAAGAACAAGCTCAAGGGTGTGGTGCACCTCGACGCGCACGGTGTGCCTCAGCGCATCGACGCGCCGAAGAGCAACCAGGACCTCGAGAAGTGGGTGCGCACCTTCGCCGAGGGTCAGGTCTACATCGGCGTCGGCGCGTGGGGCAACAGCGCTGGCGACGCGGGCGACAACAGGCAGAGCAGCGCGGCGCACGGCAGCAAGGACCTTATCCTGACGTACAACGACGGGGATGCGTCCCCCGACAACGCCGCGCCGCACCTCGCGCACCGAGTTCAGGGCGTTGCCGTCAGGATGGCGGTCAAGCCCCCCGACGCCACGGTGCACGCTGACGGCCCAGGCATCATCTTGACTAACAAGGGCCACAAGGAGACCAAGTTCTTCTTCTACCCCAACTACTGGAACGGCAACGGCACCGCGGGCGCGAACTTTGACAAGCCGTCGACGTCGGTCTCGCTCAAGCCCGGTGAGACGCACTTTGTGTCGCTACCCGCCAGCTTCAAGGGCCGCGTGCAGAGGGGTACCCTGCAGCCCGCGACGTGGGCCGAGTTCCAGCTCAGCGCCGACAATGACCACGCCGCGCACGGGGACATTAGCCTCGAGCAGGGGTGCGACGGAGCAGCGACTATCGCGTCGACTGACGGGACCAATGTCGAGGGCGGATTCACGACAGCCGACATTGTCGAGAAGGCTCCCGCCGCGGCCAAGCAGAAGCGCCAGGACGGCGTCGAGTGTATCGCGTCCACCATGGGCAACTGGATGGCTGGGCCCAACCACGCCGCTATCGACTATCTCAACAAGGCGGTCGGTCAGCACAAGGCCTACATCACGGGCGGGACCGGGACGCCCGACATTGCGAGCCACAATCAGCGGCTGGCGGTTGTGTTCTACTAGGCTGTCCTCGATGAGCCACAAGGAGGGGTGCAAAAAAAGGAACGCGGAACATGTAATTTTTAGTTTCAGTCGTATTTCTCAATCCATTTGGTTCGAATTTTGTCTGTGAATCGAGCGAGGCTGTCATCGCCACTGAGCGATCGGATTTGTACTTCTAAACACCCCTTTGCGGATGGTTGAGATGGAAGGGATTATCCACAATCCTTTCATGCGAGTTGTCTCATCCCGAAGCTTAACCCACCAGTTTAAGTTAAAAAAAACAGGCTAACAGCCACTGCACATAATACTGCACAGTGTAGCCGTCGTCCACATTCGGGATCTATCCTGTACGTTGGGCTGTAGTTCGTCCTCGATTCATTATAGGACAGGACCCAGTGCTGTAAAAATGCCCCCGCACTCAGATATAGGGTGAAACTCTTCTTCGGGAGATCCTGGTTCGAATCTAGGTTGGGTCGTATATATTGCAGGGCCATCTTTTTTTGAGCCGCCCTTTCCTTCATCTAGGATGCCAAGAGAAGAGACAGCCGGCGCACCGACGCCTTGTCCTTGACGATAGGGTAAGGACTGCAGGCTTTCCAAATCCATACGACTTTGACTGACAATTTTTTCGGCCAGTCTTTCAGTCGTTCAACTAAGGTAAAATAACTGGCAATGGGCAGGAATGCAGGTTTGGTACGAGGTAAGACAAGACTTGGTGGTGAAATACATCATACCCGTGTTGCTTAACTGCGAACTTGCAAAAAAAATCTGTGGGTGTTCCTGGTTCGAATCCAGGCTGAGCCTTGCGTCTTGCCTGAAACCTGATTTTTTGATAGTCCCATTCCCCTTCATATTCATTCCCCGAGCCCTCCGAAGCGGAAGTCGAAGAGCGTTTGAGTGTCATTTCTGCGCGTCGAGCGTAGACGGCTGAAGATTTGCCTACGCGGTCCTCCTCTTGCAAGTTTTGATGAAAGTAAGACGGGCGCAAGTACAAGTTCGAAACAGAGTGGATAAGACCCAGTGGCGAAATTTATCGCACCCGCATCCCATAGCTGCTCCAACGTATTTGCGGTGGGAGTTCCTGGTTCGAATCCAGGCTGGGTCGTGAGCTGCCCGTTCGTACCACGTTTTTGCGTAGTCGAATTTAAATGAACTTCAGTGAGGACACACACAAGTTTCGCGTAAAGTGGAAGTAAGACCCAGTGGTGAAAGAAATCCTTGCGAGAATAGAGGAAGGGAATCCTGGTTCGAATCCAGCCTGAGGCTGGGGCATAATTGGCATGGTAGCTGTTTTTTTTTGGTGGCGAGATCAGATGATCGTAAGTGAGTACAGATAACGGTTTGATTTGCAGTGGGTGAGATCTAGTGGCGAAATATCTCGCACCCGCACCCATTGTTGAACGAGATTAATTGCGACATATCCGCGGGAGTTCCTGGTTCGAATCCAGGCTGGGTCTTGACTCTTTTTTCCCGTGGCACTATGTTATAGTTCTTAAGCTTTTTTGACATATTCCATTTTTCGAACGCGTTGAAGGACAGTCTACGCACAAATGTTCAACATCGCGCAGGATCGTGGGAACAGGATGACAAAGCCGCAAGATGCCGAGTGGCTATACACAGCCGAACACCCGACGCGCTTCTTGCTCTTGTCTTCCTTTTGCCTTTTGCTACCCTCGTCTATCTTGCGGTTCGGTTGGCGCCTCGGATTGGATAGTGGACTTGTGGAATCGGTGAGTACGGTAGCTGCACCAGAGCCAGGAAACGAAGACGATCGAGGGATTCAGCGAATTGGACTACCAGTCTTTCTTGGACGCGCGGGCCAACGACGGGACTGGGTGGCATTGGTTGAAGAACGTGAGCATGGGCACGGCTCATAGACCGGGGAGGTTTCTGGACTGACTATCATGATGTCTAGGGACTCTGGGGACTCGATTCGGGACTCTGCGTATCAGGTTGCGCGGCGTCTTTACTCGTCAGGCTTCCTTACCCGGTAAGTTTCCCCAGGGTGAGACCAGACAGTATGACTGGATGATTGACATGGCGGATGCTCTAGGCTGGGACTTTGGCAACAACGCGTAAAAGTTCGTGGTACTTGACAACGTGCAGAGGATCTGCTGGTGAGCTCGATTATCCTGAGATGTAGAGACGCGTCGACAGATTATCATTTTTTTTAGTGGTAGCTATTATAAGGCAGGACTCTGTCTCCCCATAGAACCTGATCCGTCGCAGCACTTTTAGCCAGACAAGGGAAGATACTCAGGACCGCGGAGGACAACCACAGATTAGATTATTTCGGTATGACTTGACGACAGATGGATGGATGGACGTTAACTGATACCGGTGCTAGTTTGAATCTCTGCTTCGCCGTTCCAGATATACAGCAACGTCCAATAACGCTCCAACAACTGCGCTCTGTATCGGTGTCTGAAGCTCGGCACTTCAGAGCGCTTCAACTAAGAGAATTACCGCCCAAATAACGCGCCCAAAACACCAACACGCTCAGTCAAGTCAAACCTAAACGCCGTCACGTTTAAGACAGCTACATCCTTACCGGCGTTTTCAACCTCTCGATCAACCTCTTGTAAATTCTATACCGCAGCTGCGATCGTGTCTGATACCGATCGCCGTAAATCCCGCCGAAATCCTGCGCAAAAAAATACTCATCTACAGCTCAATAATACTTCACCCTCCTCGTCTCACGCTGCAAGTTGGCTGCAAGACGCACCTCGCCCTCGCACGGACCCCGACGGGCAGCATTTGGTCATCGGATAATTGAATCCCCACGCGTCGACGTCGGTCGTCAAGGCGATGACACCCACAGAGATCAGAGACAGTGATCTCCCTTCCAGTTCTCACCCTTTTTCTTTGAGTCTTGACCCCCGCCCTCTCGTATCCCGACGCGTCGGTGGACTTGTGCGTCGTCGAGTCAGGGGTACGTACGTAGCCGAAGAAACCCGGACGAACGTGGGGGACTAGGATGCTGCGCCGACAACGCTCGCTCGCGGCACTGCTCACGGGCACAGCGTCTGCGCCGTCGTCCGCGCTCAACTCCCCGAACGACGACGTCGTCCCGCCGATGCCCAATTCCGGCGTCTACTCCAAGGCCGTGAATGGGCACGGACACGAGAACGCGAAAGGCGGGGGCCTCATCCGGCGTGTGTCCAATATATTTCGGTCTGGTGCGAGTGGGAATGCGAGCGCGAGTGCGAGGGAGAAGAACGGTGCGTCTTTCCGTCTTTCCGTCTTTCGTGAATAAATAATTGGAAGCTGACTCGGATTTTGCGCGCAGAGGCCGCACACCGCGCCGCCGCGTCCAAATCGACGCCGGACGTGCGCCTCGCACCCGTGTCCAGCACCAGTCCCACGTCTAGCCGGCCCAGCGGCGGCGGGGCGAAACTCGTGAAACGCCCGTCTGTCAAATACGCGAAGGAGAAGGAAAGGGAGAAGGAGAAGGAGAAGACCGCGCGCGTGGGTGCCGCTTTGTCCTCGTCCCCGTCTACGACATCTGGGGCAGGGATCGTGCGCAGCCGCACGAAATCCATCTCCATGTCGCTCAAGGGCCTCTCGCGCACCACCCGCGGCGTCTCCTCCCCCCACGGCATCTCCTCCTCCTCTCAGGGCCACTCCTCGCGCGCGGGATCGGCGCTCTCGTACTCGAAATCCTACTCCGCCGCCTCGCGCTCGTCGCGGGCTAATTCGGTGTCGTCGAGTAACGAGGGCACGGAGGACGAGGCGGATATCCGGAGGCCGAGTGGGTTGGGGGAGGCGGCGCCGTCGTTGCTTTTGCCTGACGAGGACGGCGATGGGGATGGACACAGGTACGCAGAAGGGGAAGGGGACGGGGAAAGGACGCCGACGCCCGGAGTGCCGGTGTCGTTTGCGCAGAAGCAGAAGCAGACGCAGCTGGGGGCGGGGTATGGGTCGGATTCAGCATACGCGTCGTCGCTGTCCGCGTCGGAGGACTGCGGCGAGAGCGGGGACGAGGACGATATCCGGCAGCCCGCGGGTCTAGGGAAGGCGGCATCGTCTCTGTCGTTGCCTTTGAATTCCTTAGCGGCTTCCTCGTCTTCCACCGGCGAAGGGGGAGCAAGGGAACGAGAAGCACGAGAAAAAGCAAAGGCGAGGGACGCACGGAGACGCACGCTCTCGACGCCGACGAAGCACAAGCTGAGCGTGCTGCACGAGCTCTTGGGGCTACCGCCGCCTGTTGCGTTGCCTTCCTCCTCCTCACCTCACTCTTCCTCCTCTTTGCCCTCTCACTCGTTTACATCTCATTCCTCGACATCGCACTCTTCACCCTCTCACTCCCCTTCTTTGCATTCGCATTCACCGTCTTCGCGCGCGCGACACACCCCGCCCCCGCTCCCGTCCTCCTCCTCCCCCTCCTCCCCATCCTCGCGCGCAGCACACCCCGAAGTGCACACAGCATACCTCCCGCTCCCTGCCCCCCTCTGGCGCCTCGTCTTCGCCCACCTGTCCCTCGCGGACGCCGCCCGCGCGGCGAGGGTGTGTCGCGTGCTGGGCGAGGTGGGAAGGGGGCGGGTGTGGAGGGAGGTTGATCTGCGGGGGTTTGTGGGTGCTTCTGGTTCGGGGGCGGGTGCGGGTGCGGTGGAAGGCACGGAAAGAGGGAGAGGCGGAGGCGGAGAGCCAGGGGAGCAAGGAGGAGGAGCAGACGAAGAAGACGACACGATCCGCGTCCGCCTCGCCGGTGCGCACTCAGACGCGGAGGCAAGAAGGAATTGGAAGAGAAAGCGGAGTCTCGCGCGCGCGCTGCGGACGCCGCACCTCGCGGCGCGCGTGGAGGCGGTGGTGTGTGCGGGATGGCCGCCGTGGGTGTTCAGCGCGGGCGCCGAGGAGGAGGAGGGCGGTGAGCAGGTGCGTTTGTTTCCTTCTTCTCTGGATTTTTCTTCCTCGCATTTCCTTATATCAGTGCGCACGGCATAGCGCCTCGTCCTTTTTCTTGGTCCGAAACGCGAGCACCGTACTTGCTCGTTGTGTCGAGACGCGACGAGCACTGTACTTTCTATTCCATTCCCGCGCTATTCGGTGTTCGCATTCTATTTATCTTATTTTCTGCTCCCCCGCGTCGTGTTACATTTTTGGACCTACTTGCCTTTCGTCTCCATTTTTTTCCCCCGAGTATTCATTACATGCGCGTCTTTCTTTTATCCTCCATTGTCCTGCTTGCTCCCTCGCTGCACATCTTTTGTTTTTTCCTCTTCCTGCGTCTTCGTCTCCCTCTGGAATCTCATGCTAACAACCCTCATCCTCCACAGATCCACCTCCCCGCTTTGCGCAGCCTAACCATCTTCCCGCCCGCTGCAGAGGACGCGTCATCACCTCCCGCTTCTCGACAAACAGAAAACGGCACCACATCGACGCACCCTCCGCGCATAGACACTTCCGGCTTATCGTCCACGTCCCAAACCCGCCGCCCCGACATGGAGATTAACGCGCCCGCGCTCCTCACCTTCCTCCGCGCGCACCCGACACTCGAGCGGCTCGCGGTCGTGGGGTGCGCGGACGTCGACGCCGAGCCCGAGCAGGGTGCGAGTTCACGGGAGGGAAAGGGAACGGAGGACAATGCAGAGAAAGTGAAGGCAGAGACGCAACCCTTCCTCCCGCGCCTCACACACCTCCACGCGCCGCCCAGCCTCGCCGTGCGCCTCCTCGAGCGCATCGCGCGCGCGCCGTTCGCCTCGCCCCTCCCACCGCTGCCCCCCGCGTTGACTACGTCGAATTCAGCCGCGAGCGCGACGTCGATCGCGGACGAGTTAGGGAAGACCGCTGTGGTGGCGGGGACGAGTGCGCGTGCAAGTCCGACTCCGAGTACGAGTGCAGGGGAGGGAACTGCGAAGCTATCGGCGGCGTCGTTGGCGCTGCTCGCGCCGGACCCGAAGCGCTCGATGACGGCAAGGTTGCCAGGGTGGCATCGTGGGCGGAGCCGTGAGCGGGAGCGGGAGGCGAAGCCGACGCCGAATGTGACTGCCGGGAGTGACGCTGCGCCGTCCAGTACCAACGGTGTGCAGCCCGTGAAAGCGCGCAATGACGGTGTGCAGCGTGCGCAGACCGGTGGCGCTAGCACGAACGCTGAGCGTGCGCTCG